TATTCCCTGAGATTTTCCCCCATCTGTCTCTGTATTCACACTCCTAAACTCACTCTTACTTTCCCAGGAGATGCAGGTTTTCCTCACAGTATAGAGTATGTCACACCATTATTGCAAATTAAAGAATCTCCACACTAGCTTAGAAACACCATCTCTGTCATAAAATCAACATCTTTATTTCCACAAAGCTCGCCCTATTTTTAGAGTTCGGTCTTTCGAGAACCCTGAATCAAATTCTAGCTAATTAGTAAACACATAAAGTCTCCTCTATGCTGTGATCTTTGAGCAAGATGGAAAGATTTAGTCGTGTTTTTTTGAGTAAAGGAAATCAGACCTGAATTTTGGGGGTCCGTGCAACTTCTCTTTGATTTGAGGATTAGAGCTTTGGACTGTTCATCGCTGTCTTGACAATTACTCTGAGGCTAATGGAAGCGGACGCCGTTAATCTTCACATGCTGGCACCAATGTAGCTCTAGCGGTGCTCTCCATCTCTTATTCCCAGTGTGCAGTCTCACACTGCTCAGCTGAATACACTGAGCTCAACAATCACACACTATCAACACACCATCATTTATAACAATCCAACGCAATTTCTCAGCAGTCAAGATATTACAGTTTAATTTATTCGCTTGAGACAAGACTTAGATAAAATATAACGGCAGTAGGTTTGAGTGATTGCCATGTCAGGGATTTTCTCTAGCCTCCAAAAAAAAAAGAGGCAGAAAGTCAGCAGAGCAGTTACAGAGTCACCGTCAGCAGCATAAACATTTTACAAGTCAGGATTTATTGTCATTAGTGTTAATGATGTCATTTCTAAGCCCCACCACAGTCACACTGAATATACAGCCAGGCATTTATGGTTTTATATACTGGGAGAAAGGGTCAAACATGCAATTCTTTTTCCACCTAGCATTAATATATGTCCTGACTCTTGAGGGATAAAGACACCTGAAAACTAAGATGTCGAATGACCAGAGGACCTATGATCTTAACTCGCTCCATCCAGGAAGAAATGCTAACATTGAGGAAAAAAAGGCTGCATGTATTACATCCAAAAACAGAAACATGCAAATACATTTTAATGGAGGCAGGCAGATAAAATAATATCCTTGTCAAAAAAACAGCCCATCAGGCGATTTGTGGGGGGGTAACAAGTAAGACAAGGTGTCCACTGACAATTTTAAAGAATGCGTACACAACATGAGTTAGAAACACTTTATCACCAGCTGTAAAAATGTAATCCAGCTAAATCAGATCAGGATCTACTCCAAATGTGAGATGCATATCAATGCCAGAGGAAAATGAGCCTGTTTAATTTGAGTAGTAGGCATACAAATGAGGCCAGTGTGTTCTATTAATCTGAATCTGAAAAAGGGGCACAAATCATTATTACTTCTCCATGTCTGACTATCATTTTCCAATCTCTAAACATACCCATGCTGTCTTCCACATTTGCTGGTCCAGGTTTCCACTGTTTAAGCCACCATTGTTTTAAGACACAGTGGAGCATAAAATGGCATAAATGGTGCCTCAAATGGAGCAAATGAGTGGCCGTTTAATTGTAGTGAGTTAAACTGGTTCCCTGCGGTAGGGGCTGAGAGTCGGACGCCTTGAGTAGTAATTATCTCAGGTAGCTATCTCATTACCGCCCTCCTCTAGTATGTAAATGTGGCCACGGGCTCAGTTGTTATGATGTGCAACGGCCATCTTGCTGGGCTCTTCTGAGGCCATGCTGTTTATCACCAGGCAGGGAAAATAACTTAAGTACTGGTTGCATTTCCAGAGTTAATAAGAGTGTTTTAATTGTCTTGGTTTCTATGTTTGTGGCTGTTGTGTAAGACTTGTTCAAGTAAGTAGCCAGGACACTGCTATCAAACAGAACTTTGCCTCAGTGTGCAGCATTTTCATGATCATGTGACGAAAGAAATTCATAAACTAGATTATTTATTATTAAATATTTCAATGTTTGTAGCACGGCTGTTACTTCATGCATGTAATAGCTCACAATAAAGCAACTTGAATTGCACTGTGAATAAATACATAATGCTAGATTCTGGGAGTTGCATGAAAAACTATGACTGAATTAAAAACATAGCTCCAGGCATTGACACATTTTTGTGAGGGTTTGTCTGATTATTGAACATTTTAGGCGGGGAGTGTGGAGAAGAACAATATGTTCTACTAAGTGCCACCCGCCACCCAACACAGAGCCTGAATCCCTCATTTTCTTGTCCAAAGTCTAGATGTGTGGTTCACTGAGCATTCTTGGTACCATGTGTGGTGAGCAGACCAATCCCATTACAGCATCAGCTTGAAGAGACTTCTGCTGGCTCTGACTAGCCTGAGGTTGGCATTCAAGGGAGGGAGGGAGAAAAAAGGGACAGAGAGATGCTAATCATCTGAGCTGAGGAGAACAAGGCTTGAGAGAGACAGACAGAGAGATGTACATAGAAAGATGTCTCTGCCTCTGCCAATGTTTTGGAGTCAGAATGAAATTCAGCAATAGGATAAGGATTTCTGCTTGTAGTGTGTCCGCCTGCCTCTACATCTAAGGGACAACAATTACTTCTGCCACTACCTTCCTCATAATCCTATCAGTGAAAAGAAAAACTTGACTGCCTAGAAAAACAGCAATATTAACTTCCAGCCATGATATATTTTGCAACACTGTCAAATTGTTTGACTGGTGTGGAGCTGGATGTGACACCCGTTCCCATGTGTATTTGGACAGCATTTATTACATTTTCACAAATCTCTGCGGAATGAAGTAAGAGTGTGTCTGAGCATGTGCTCTGCACCAGGAAGATCTGGCAATATTTTACACAGCTGAATTTTAAGGAAATGTAGCAAAATGATGCATCTTGTCAATAAATAATAAGATAATAATAGTACTTATTAATGTATGTACACTTTTTGTGCTACTTATATGCTCAATAATCAATGTTTGGCACAGTTTATGCAGAACAAAAAAATAATAGAGCAATAAAATAAAGGATGAGCTGCTCAGAAAATGTATGACAGACTGGTGGAAATGTGCACAAAAATCCACACGTGCCAGAACTATGTTGAATTTGCAGACACAGAATCAGCTTGTATCTCAAAAGCAAGACTGTATTATCTCCCTCTTCTTTGCCCGGTGGTCTTAATGAAGATGAAACTCAATTTGCACTGGCCTCCCAGATCAAATTTTAATTAGTTTTTTATTCCTTCGCCTCTTTGGATTCTGAGTCTTGCAGGGTAGTAAAAAAAATGGGTGTGGTATTTGAGTATTTGCTCCCACTCTGCACTGCACCCGGGGGTGAACATGTCCCTCACCAAACCTCATGTCCCCACCCAGTTTCCAAGCTGCCGCAGACAGACAAAATGCCACATTAGTATTCAGACGACATCAGACCTGTGGGCCAAACACTCACTGGACAAAGCTTGACGAGCACAAGCACACACACACACACACACACACACACAGACAGACAACTATTCATGTATAAGGATCAGGAGACATGCTCAAATTATCACAGCACATAACTCACAAGGGAAATATACACCATGGGATTGGTTAAAAAAAACTTTTTTATCATGACTGTGTGAGAATGACTGCATGTTTTTCTCATTATATGCTATGCTACACATTCTGCTGTGCTGTAGATTACTATTTGCAATTCTTAATGCATAGTAGGTACTGCAGCGAGACAAAGCTAATTATTAGGAGGCGAGCGATAACACTGACACATCACTAAAGCAAGAGTTGGCTGCTGCAAAGTGCTGTGAGCTAGAGTTTTAAACACTAACCATCTCATTTTCTTACTGTTTGTGGTGTTGATACGCCCCATTAGTCTGTCCATCTCTGCTCTCATCCGTCTATCCCAATCCTATCGTTCACTCATGTCTCCCACCCCCACTGATTCCAAATTATATGCTGATAGAAAGCTAGCATACTGTGACATGTCAGCATATTTACAGATAAAGCCTCCGTCCGCTTTTTAATAAATGCCTAAAATGGTCCAGAGCACTTGAGTAGTAGTACACAACAACATGGAGAATGAACTGGAATGTGCCCATAACTTTGTATTTCCCTCTCATAAGTTACATGAATGGGACAGTCATTTTGAAATTTAGTGCACTGTGGAAGAGCTAGCTAAAAGAAAGTGAGTCGTTGATAGTAGTAGTGATATGCATTGTACATCTGAATTGCTACCACAAGTCCCATTCCAACATGGAAAGCACTCAATCACACAGACTGTAAGTCTGATAGGTGTAGCGTTAAAATCCACTCGAGGCAGAAGAGCAAATAAAAACTGTATAACTGCATGCACACAGCAGCACAAGACTTTTACTGGAATCCATACAACTGAATCTGGATCACTACATCTGAGTCACTACCTGAGTCACTTCCCCCTTTCAATTCATGAACTTGACAGAGGAACAACTCGTTGAATCCTGGATCCTGATAAAGCGGTCAGTTGAGCATAACAACGTTGTACAGTACAATGTTATTCAAACAGAACTGAGGCTGGGCTCTCAAACTGACTAGTCATTCACTGAAGCCTGTAAAATCTGAATTTACACGTGAAAGCAATGCAGTTTGTATGACTCACAAGAGAGAGAGTTTTGCCTTCACAGTAAACAGTTTAAAACCCCCCTTCAATACACAATACAAACAAGTGAAAGATAATGTAGTAGGAAATATCAAAGAGCTTCAATGCATAAAGAATGAAAATTAGAGGGGAGAAAGCCAGGGAGAAAAAGAAAGAGTTCAGCAGTGATTTCTATTCAACAGTTAGTGGTGATTTCAAAAGGAAAGTTTCACTGTTCATTTTGTACACCAACTGAAGTTTAGAGATAATTGGTGGTTTGTTTGTTTGTTTGTGTGCACACTGACGAACCTAACTGCACTGTATAATAAAGATGAGCTGTAACCATTCAGTCGTTATAGCAGCAGGGTGAGCGTATATAATAGAACATGTATAGGAGGCATAAGGTACAGAAATAAGATGACTTACCGACTTGAGATGAGTCACCTGTAGGGGAAGATAAAAGAGGAGGGGAAAAAAGAAAAGATGGATCAGTTCAAAGAGCAAATCAAAATGTCACTTGAGTACACCTGCTCACCAAAAGACAGTCACGACAAAACGAGATATAATAGCACAGGGGAAAAAAGAAAAGTCAGACTGTAATTAGAATTAGATGTCTACAAAAGTGCTATTCCACACATACGCTGCTAATTGAGATAGTGGAGGAAAACAACTACCAGGGATGTTCAGAAGGCAGCATTCATACTTTCTTTATAAAGCAAGTCTTAAAGGTCAAAGGAGGACCTCTCAGGCAACAGCTCACTTCTTGACATTCACTTTCTACTTCTCTCTACTCTGCAATAACTCCTCCTAGGATTCAAACTCATTAAAAAAGATGGTGTTGTGGGGTTTCTTTAAAAAGATTCTCCTGACTGCGTTTACCCTGTATTTGTGACTTTTAAAACACCAGATTATCCAATTAAGATTTTACAAAAGCAACCTAGCCTGGAAGACGGGAAGACTTAGCATTCTGCCTCTCGTCACTTCCTGAAAGAATGACACGGCACATCAAGTTATAATGGTTCAGGCAGACCGAACACCAAGCACAGTTACTGTCTGAGTCACAAATAGGGTGACAAGACAATTTTAAAGCAGGAGGGGTGGAAAGGTATTAAGAAATCCAAAGGACCAACCAATACTCCACAGCCCAGCTCATACTCATTTTGGATTCCTTCCAATGTTCAATAGATGATTCAAAAAAGAATATGAATAAACATGAATAATTTTCATCTGAAATATTGATTCATGCTGTCAGGTCAAATTCCTAATTAAAGATTGGAGCCACTACATCAGTTGGCAGGTGTTAAGTACTGAGGCAAGTATACAGTAGGTGTTAAGATCAATTCGAGGTGGAGGGTGCATCCAATTAACTTGTGAAAAAGTTTTTTGTTTTTTTTCAGGAAAGTTGTTCTGTACACATAGTAGAACTTCTGTATGCAGACAAATGTTAATATATATAAACACTTGTCTGTCTGTTAGTGCAACCTGTTGAACATTAAACGAGTTGCACAGTTTATCAGAACTACAGTATTTGTTCTGTCCTTATCTGTCCTAAATTGGCAGCTAACATTGTGATGTGTGATAAACGGCAGTTGAAGAATCCAGACTGTTTGTTCTCCTTTCAGTTTACGACCTTTAATAGATACAATGTTTTTTTAAGAGATGACACTGTATCTTGCAAAACCTTTTCTTAAATTTAAAAATATGTTTAACTGCATGGGGAAAACAAGAGAACCATTGAATAAATTTAAAGTTTTTAATGTTTTAATGGCTCTCTGTGTTGGAAAAAGTTAAAGACAAAGTTCATGAGCTGAGTCAACTGCACAGTGTCAGGAGAGGGCAATTTACACCTTAGCCCAGCTGCTGTTTAGAGTTGCCTCACAGTGTATTAGTGCCATCCATGAACAAACAGGCCCAGGATAGGCTGTCAACCATACTGGCGAGCTGGCTACCATTCCATGTCCAAGGTGAAAAGAAACCTCTTCAGTCCCAACACATGGAGCAGAGCAGGAATCCCAGCCAGAGCAGATGGAACACAGGGCGCTTTGCCTTGCCGTGCCGGCCTTGTTCTTGATCTACAGTCCAGGCGCAAGTGCTGAGACAGAGCTTAAATGTCCACAGTGGTGGATGAAGGCAACGGCAGAAAAGGAGCTAGAGGAATGAACACAATCAATAGGCCTTGCTCTCCCAGGCATGCTTTGTTAATATCCTCGATTTTGACAAAAATATCTCCAGCCTTCTGCTACCCTGCTTGCTCTGACATCAACAAACACACTCTAAACACAAGGGGGTACAGCCAATGATGGGGACAAGTAGGAAGTGGATGAAGAGAGAGTTGGTCAAACATAGCTCGTCTATCATGGATTTCCACTTCTCCCAGGCTAAAGAGAGCCCACCAGTAAAGAAATAAAGATGTACAGAGCGGCATACGTGCTTCCATGTAATATCATGTCATGACAGCTGTGTACAAATATGAAGTTATGGCAGCCACGCCATCTTTACAGTGTGGGACATAGAGCTAGGGTGACCATGTTTTATTGATGATATATCATTCTGGAAAGCTGATAGGACCCAGGGGCAGAACTATAAAGTCTCTAGTGACCCCTGTAGTATAGTAAATAACCCCAGCTGGATGCCAGCAACAGTTTGGTGCCCAGTATTTCATGAAGGAAACATACTGAGGCCAAGGTTGGTGAGATGTAGCGACAGTTTCGAAGCTGTGTTGGCTTTAGTAAGCCCAGCCACATTTTCCACACACTATTTCCACTGTATGATACCCCTCATTACACCGAACAATGCATGTAACTTTTTGTGACCATAGTGCCATCACTGGAAAAGCAAGGACCCCCATCCCCTTTCCTTTTTGGCAACTCAGTCTCACAGCCAAGAAGCAGTGACCCCTGTCTGCTGTCGATTTACTTTCCATCTCTTACCACGCTGTCCACACCTCTCTCTCAGCACCGCTTAGCTGTCAAACTTACTTGCCCATAAATGCGGAGAGAGAGGAGTGTGGAGAGAACACGACACACATGACTGAGTGAGACGCAGAGCACCAACACACACACACACACAAGGAGAAGAAAAAAAATACAAGGACATATTAAGGGCAACCAATCTACTCCACAATTCAGGTTACCACAAATGAAAACAAACAGAAAAGACACATACATGCATATGAGCAAAATAGCAGTCAGGAAACTATTTGTTTATTTGGTTTTGTATTTGTTTTAGTTTAGTTTAGTTATTAAAAGGTTTAGCCTGCTTACTGTTAGATAACTGTTATGCTGGTATATATTTTTTTGTTTATGGAAGGCAAAAATATTACTTGATGTTATGTAATTTACTAGTTAGCTTTAATATTAGATACTCTTATTTTTGTTGTTATTCTTAGCCCTGCACTAACCAAACACATTGTGTATGTTTGGTTTTGGTTTGGTTTTGTCCCAGTAAGCCTATTCCCTGAGTCGGTACAACCAATACCAGGGCCCTGGAACTGATTGGAACTGATGCAAGTTAAAATACTCACAAGTCTACTGATAACAATACTGAAAATCTTCTAAACTCATGGATGAACAAAAAACATGCTATTTATACAAGTATTTTGCACTCTTTATTTGCTTTACAGCGAACTTGCAGCCACACAAACAACAAATGTTATGCTTTCAGACCAGCTACTTCTGAAAACAGATATATGAGAGGTTATGGCAGAGAGACAGTGGGTATGCTGCAACAACAAGAACAACATATTAGGAATCAATGAATTCAGTCAAAAACTCCAACTCAGCATGACTCTTAACTTGAACTGTTTCACTATTAATATTTAATCTCACCACCATGTCTCTGTCAACAAACAACAGTTAAACTGCTCTCGGTGAAGTCTCTTGTTATTTGAATACAACTATAAAAGTTTGACAATACTGTGGCAATGGTCTTTACACAGAAGTAACAATGTCATGCTTCTACAAGAGTCTCTCCCTGCAGTGGGCAAAGTATGGAGAAAGGATGATGATTGTGAATTTACTTAGTCCACAAGAGACTGTGGGGAACAGAGGTGACAACCCAACTGCTGGACTTTTTATTTTCCACAACAATGAACAAGGGGAAACTGCTGGCCTTGATCAAGATCTTATTACTGGTAGATTTCACCTAATAAGCTAAATGGATAGTAAAAGTAAGCTACTCACACCACTGTGCTCTCTTGACTGAATAAAATACCCTGAAAAGCTAGAGGTTGACCACAATGATCACCTGTGCACGGTTTACACTATTGAAATGGCTCTCAGGTAACCTGAGGAGGCATTTATTGAAAACCAAATAAAATGTTATTCTAGTGAAGAATGGAAATGAAATGACCAAATCCACTGGATAAAACAAAACTGTACAATTAAACTTTATATGAATATAGTGAGATAAACATCCCATTTGATGAACTAAAAACCCTCAGTGTACTTTTCCTAGACACCTTCCAGTGAGATGGGAAGTTGTGATCCCAACTAGAATTAATTGTTTTTGGAAAGACATAATAAAATGGACCCCAGCATAGAGCCGTTCTGTACTGCACTGGCAGTGAAGGGGATAAAATGCACATCAGGCATATAATTGATGTTCAAATTAGCTCCATTAACAAAACATGTGCCTCGCTGTGGCAAGCTGAGAAGTACAGAAACAGACTTTTGGAGTTTATTATTCATGTGTTCTGCCTGGGTCACTTTAATAGTAGGACAGCCAATTTGTCAAAGGGTTCAAATGATTTAAATACAACACATTTTTATTACACTAAATTATTGAACACAAAATCAAAGTGCAGAAGTAATTTGCCGTTCCCTGCATTTTCCCTACGGCTTCAATGGCTTGTCCATTATCTTCTGTCACACATCCGGCTGAACTATATGACATCCCCAGTCAGTACCAGATAAAACGCCATATAGATTACTAATAAGCTACAGTCATTTAGGCTTTACAAGGTTCGGACATGATTCAGACATGATTAGCACTTGGCTGTTCATCCAGCCAAGTGCTAAGAACACGATGTGCATAAGGTACAGCATATGAAGTGGGGCTTTTAATCGGTAACAGGGCAAAGAGATCAAAATGTGACATTCAGTGCCTCTGTTTAATTTTCTCTTAATATGTCACTGACAATTAATCATCCACTGTCTGGCCTTTAAATAGTGTTCTCTATTTAAACCTATTTTTTAAACTTACTGTGTTACTGTATAAATATTTGAGTTAAAACCTGCAGAATATGTATTTATTTCAGTGTTTGGTAGGTGCAACAGGTGTCACTCATAGAGCAGGTACTAAAGCTTATTTGGGAACATGAATGTAAGTCTTTCAGTGTGGAACTGTACATGGCAGTGTTAGCTATCATGACAACTCCAAAAGAACACTTGATTCTCACAAAGGTGGAAATTCCTGCCAAAGCAGTGAGTTAACTTAAGCTCTTA